TCCAGGCACGCTTCTGCAGCTGTGCCTTCTGACGCAGCAGGGCAGAGCTGGCTCCCAGCCTCACTGTTCCTCAGTCAGGCTTGCAGGGGCAGCGAGTGGCAGCGCGTCACCACCATTCAGCGTTGTCTGACGTGCCCAGTAGCTGATGTCTTGGCTGCTGGGTTTGTGCACGCGTGTGTGTGTGTACACACGTGTGTTGGGGGAGGTGTTGCTCTGTGTGCAGAGCAGCTTTTATGACCCTTCCTTCCGAATCGCCCGCAGTGGCCCAGCTCCTCCGCACCGGGGGACCTGTTCAGTGCGTGATTCCCAGCCAGATGTTCCCTGTGCTCGCTGGAACAATGGGGCCCCTGCATCCCCCTTCCTCTCACCACCTTGCTTCCTGCTCCTTTGAGGGAGCGGACAGAGTGATCCACCAGGGGTGCCCCATGGACCAACTTCCTGTTTCCGAGCAGCTGCTGGGGTGCTGCGACTCGGGCTCCTGGGATCCGCCCTCCAGCTTGGCCACAAGCTGATGCCCCTGATCTGAGGCCTCCAAGGAGTGCCGGCCTAGCTGGCATCAGGCCAGGGTGCAGAGACTCTTCTGGCTCTAGAGAAACCTGCACGAGCCAGTCTCGTCTCGGGGCTGGGTGAGACGACTCCCCTGGGCCCTGCCCAGCCAGCTGCGCCTTGTTGCAGCGCTCTCACACTGTGAGGTCCCTTGGCCGCATCGCCTGCTTTCGTTGCCCTGCTTGTGGGCTGCTGGGCCCAGACAGTGCCTGGCCAGACAGAGGTGCGCCGGGAGCCTTGCTGCAGGAGTCTCCGGGGCCTGGCTTTGTATGTGTTGTACCCTTCCCTGTGGAGCTCCTGGCAGCTACACCCATAGTGATGTGAGTGCCCAGGCAGAGAGGCCGGAGGGAGGTCCTGTCCCTCTCCTGGATGCGAGGGTGGGTCTCTCCCACAGCCCCTGATGGCTCTGTCTGTCTCACTCAGATGTCGTGCCCAGAAGAGGTGGTTGCCTTGGCAGACGAGGAGCTGCTCAGCTTCCTCCTGGAAGATGATGCTCCCTGTGCAGAGTTCTCGGGGGACAAAGCCAACCTGCCGGGAGACTGGGGTCTGCTGGAGCCCGAGGTGAGACTGCTGTCCGGTGCAGAGCACAGAGAAGTGAGCTGGGCTGGGCCGTGGGAGGGGGCTTTCAGGCCTCCATCCTCTGCTTAGCAGCAACTCTTCTCTGCAGCTCCTGAATGACAAGGAAGTGGAGGACTTTCTCAGCTCCCTGCTGAGCCCCTTTGTAGAGGGGCCGAGTGCCTTGCAGGGTCACTCGCCTCTCGACAGCGATAGCGGCATCTCCGAGGACCAGAATCCCTTCCCCAGCCCCAGCAGCTGGGATGCGTCTCCGGCCAGGGACCTCGCCTCCAGCCCTTTGAGCTCTGACATCGTGCAGGTCGAACACAGCTACTCCCTCCATCAGGACAGAGCGGCGCTGGAGAGCGTGAGAGCTGAGACCGCAGAAGGAGACATCTCCATTGACCTGGGTAAGGGGTAGGCCTGGGGAATCCCTCTTCCGTAGCTTGAGCCCATGGAAGGGAAGCAGCCCAGCTGTCTATCGGGTGGAGGAAGAAGGCCGGGGATGGGGAAGAGGGGTCTGGCTGGCCTGCTGGGGCCGGCTGGCAGGGGCTGTACAGTGGGTGGTGCCTGACTCTCGTTCCTCTCCCAGATATGTGGGGGGACTCGGGAAGTGCAGAGGAGACGCTGATCGACGAGCAGAGTTCCAGCTTCCCAGTTGCTGTGCCCATGGATGACTTCATGCCTGGGACCCCCATACAGGTACTGAGGCCCGTGCCCAGGGACAGGCCCCACTGCTAATGCTGGTGGGCCCCTGCCTTCCCTGCTCATTTGCACCTCCACTCCCTGCTCAGGTGCTGACCCCCATCCTGCCCCGGGGGCTTCCCTCGCTAGTTCAGGGGGGGGTCTCCAGGCTCAGCAGTGGGTTGGTTTGTGTTGTAGTTTGATTTCCCGGAACTGATCCTGACAGAAGAGGAGAAGCAGCTTCTGGAAAGAGAGGGTGTCTCCTTGCCGTCCCACCTGCCCCTGACCAAGGTGAGTTCACCCCCCCCCCCACTCTAGTGCATGGCCCCTCCCCTCACTCATTCCCAGGCCAGAGACTGATAGAAGTGATGAAGAGGGGGGCCCCATTACCACGGTCCAGGGCCGGTGTCTTGCTCAGAGGTTCAGCCCCTAGCTCCGCAAATGGGGATGGTGCTGGATTCCTGCCCTGGACCCTGCTTGCGGGGCTCCATCTTCCATAGCGCCACTGGCCAGACCCCAGCTAGGTGATCTGCAGCCACTGCCCCTCTATCTGATAGAAGGAGGAAGGTGTGGCCAGCCGTTGCCCCTCCCCCGCACGTTGGCTGCTGTGGAGGGATGGGGGTTCTGTGCTGCTGCAGAGAGTTCCCCAGCAGCAGGAAGACGAGTGAAGTGAGTCTTGACAGTCCTCAGCTGCCCACGGGGGCCTGAAGAGCAGCCATGAAACTGGCCAGTCTTGTTAGTTTGCTGTGCCTGTCTGCACGCTCCGGAGGGCTGTGCTGTATGGGGCCGTGTGCTGCAGGGATGCTGGCTCAGGCCCTCTCCTCCTGCCAAGGAGTTTGGCCTGGTCTCCTAGGGCCAGTGGCTCTTTCAGGCCCTGTTTTCAAGCCCTCTGGCTGGGCTGGGTTCTGGTCAGCCCGCCTGGTGTAAGCTGGAGGCTAGGCCCAGGCGTGTGTGCCCGCTGTGGGGGCTGTGGGCTGATGGGGGAGGAAGCAGGTGTGGGGGCACATGCAGAGACTGGAACTGCAGAAGGTGCTGTCAGAGCTGGGGCTCCTCTGCCTTTTGTCTCCCAGCGGTGCTGATAGTGTCCCTTGATTTCCTGATGCACTAGAAGGCAGCAGGTCTCGTGGACAGGCCATAAGTCACCTTGCCTTCTGGGCCAGGGCCTGCAGCTGGGTTCCTAGTGACATCACAGGCAAAGCATGTGAGAAATACCTGGAGTAACCTCTGCCCTCCCCAGGCCCTTCCTGCCCCTGGCCCGATGGCAGGTACCCGCCAGCTGCTGCTCCCTGGGCGGGGTCAGGGCTGGGTTCCGGGCAGGGGTGTTCCTATGAGCGTAATGGGGGGGCTCTCGCCCCAGAGTGTGGAGGCCCAGGCATGGCCTGTAACCCGAGCTGGCTGTTTTAGGCTGAGGAGCGGCTCCTGAAGAGAATCCGTCGCAAGATCCGGAACAAGCAGTCGGCCCTGGACAGTCGGCGCAGGAAGAAGGTCTATGTGGATGGCTTGGAGAGCAGGTACCATGGACACAGCAGGATGTCAGGGAGTGATAGGCCCAGCAGAGGGCGTCGCTCCTCCCGTGGATCTGGGGAGCGCCCCCTGCCAGAGCGCTGGGGTAGTGAACCCTCTGGCACAAGGAGAAGGGCAGGACACCAAGCACTTGCACTCCAAGCGCTGGAGGCAGCTGCCAGCTCCCGGGCCCAGAGGAGCAGAAGCCGATAGGCAGGGCCTGTTTGTAACGTGCTCTGGCGGAGCTGCAAAGCTCTGATCAAGGTCTGAGACCCGCCAGTGAATGAGCCCTTCCCCCTCCCATGGGAGCCGCGTTCTGCCAGACACTCCTGCCAAGCTGCTCCTGCTGTGAGAGACCCCAGCAACCCTGGCTCGGGGGCTCCAAGCACTGGTGTGAGCGTGCGGAGGAGTGGGACCAGATTTTTACCACTCAGAGGTCTGTCCCAGGGTAACCCCAGCAACCCCATCTGCTTGCCCTGCAACTGTACCGCAAATCGGCGGCAGCCCATGGCCCTGCCTCCTAGCTGTGTCAGAGCAGTTTGGCTGTCCGTGGCTGTGCGAGGGACAGATGAGGTCACACCTGCCCCCCACCCTCAGGACATTCTGCACCTGGCACTGGGCAGGGTCTAGGGACTCCTTCCTGAGCCAGCAGCGCGGTTTCCCATGAGGGTCAGTCTGACTCTTTCCTCTCTCCCCATCGCTGCTTGGGAAGGGTCGTCACCTGCACGGCGCAGAACCACGAGCTGCAGAAGAAGGTGCAGCTGCTGCAGAAGGAGAACATGTGAGTTCCTGACACTCCAGACATGGAAACCTGGGGGCAAGAGGGTGGGAAGGGGGCACTGTCTCCCTGTGCCCCTCCAGTCAGCACTGACATGCCAGGGGAGCGAAGCCTGTTCCCTAGCATCCTGATCCCAGGCTGGAGGGATGCGGGGCTCGGTGGCGGGATGGGCAGCCTGGGATCAGGGGCTGCACTCATCTGCGTTTCACACTTTGCCCTAGGTCATTGCTCGAGCAGCTACGGAGGCTCCAGGCCCTGGTGAGACAGTCGTCGACCAAAACTACCACCGCCAGCACCTGCGTCATGGTGAGTGGCCCCGTCGCCGGGCATTGGCCCCAAGATCTGTGCTGGCCACGCGGGTGGTGCTGAGGAGCCTCCTTGGCTGGCGGGGCCGGAGTCACGCGCCAGTGCTGATGGCTCGGTTGTCTCTCTCCAGGTCCTGCTCCTGTCCTTCTGCCTCATTCTCTCGCCCAGTCTCTACCCGCTGGGAGCCAGAGTACAGCAGGAGGGGTTCCGAGGAGGTGAGTGACTGGCTGCACGGGGGTGAGCAGGAGGGGCAGGATTGTGCCCAACAGTGAACTCTTCTGGGGTGAACGTTCCAGGTGATGCGGCCCCAGCAGAGATGTGGTTTCCCAGACGTGGGCTCACGCCTTGTGGGAGCGGGGCCTGTTTGTGGGTTGCTCGGCTGTCCTGTCCCATTGCAAGCTGCTGCCAAAGATGCTCTCCACTGCCCCGTGCAGACTAGGGCCAGGAGAGCCTGGGGCCAGCCCCCGCCCTGGCGCATGATGCTCTTGGCGACGCCAGGCTGACTCTCCTCTCTCTTGCAGTGCTGTCTCGGCAGATCCGTGAGTACCCGAGTGATGCGGCCCAGTTTCAGCCAGCAGCTGCCCAGCAGGTGGAGGGGCCTGAAACACAGAGGGAGCGCACAATGGAGGGACTGGCGCTGGAATCTGAGACGGCCCTGCTGCCGGGCAGCCTCAATCACTCCCGGGACGGGGGACAGAGCCCACCCAAAGCGGAGCATGGCTCTGCCATCAACAGCAACTCCTCCTCCGACCCTCCGCCAGGAGCCAGCTCTGAGCTGGGTCCCCCACAGCAGCAGCCAGAGCAGCTTCCCGGGAAGGGCCCCCTGCACTCTGCGGAGCTGGCAGCCTGGGGGACTAAGAAGCAGGAGTGGGTGGAGCGCACCACCAGCGTCGTGATCCAGCAGCACCGTGCAGATGAGATGTGAGCGCCGGGCGCCTCGCGCTGCCTGGCTGTGAACGTGCTGGCGTCTGGGGCTCTGCCAGGACAGCTCCGACTGATCCTTATTGACACAAATGCTTCTAAACGCCCCTGAGCAGATTGTCTCCCCACCCGCCACACCTGAACTGGGGGTCAACTGGGCTCAGGGGTAGCTGCAGCGTGGAGGTGGGCACAGCATGGAGAGTTGATGCCCTGCAACCCCTTCCCTCTCCAGCTCAAGCGCCTGTGTTATTTAGTTCCCTGCAGCTGGACTGAGTGGGAAAACACTGATTGGGCCGGGCCCCTGGGTCCGGGTGCCCTTAGCAAGTCCCGCAGCTCCAAGCGACCTGTCCCCTCCAGCAACACAATGATTCCCCATCCCTCAGCTGGGCACGCCAAGCCCCTATGCCCCGGGCTGCCGGCTGGATGTGGTTCTAAACTTCTCTCATCGACTTCCCTGCTGCTGGTCTTGGCGAGGCTGGGGGCAGCTGCAGGCAGAGGGTCCCTGCCCAGTGCTATGTGCTGCCTTCCTGCTGGACCAGGGGGTGCTGGTCATGATCCCACGGAGGGGAGGGCGCTGCACTACTGTAGCGGTGGAGATGCGGAGCCCCCTGCGGGTTAGCCTCTGTACCAGGGCTGGTGGGGCTTGGGGCCCATGGCAATGGGGAGGGCCAGGTCAGCTGGGCCTCCTCTGTAAGTTGACCTCTGGCCTGCAGTCCTGG